TTAGGGTCCTAAGATTACTTTCCACGTAAGGGCCCCATACATCAGATTTGCCTGGATGCTGCCTTTAAGTATTATGCATAAATTCTAACGAAATTGACGACTACCAATAAGAGTTCAATTATACCCTAACCAGAAACTTTGTCCACTCATATCAGTGTCAAATATATTGACAGACCCCTAGGTAACAAATTTTCACCAAACTCAGAATAGAGAATAGTGCAAAACCTTCCCAACGAGAACGTCAATCGAAAATAAAAAGTTCTAGAGGTAAAATTCAACATGCTGAGTTTTATCAGTCATGGGGTACCACTTGTGCTACTTTAAACCAATAATTAAAACCAAGAAAGTAATAAAAGTCTTAGATAAAAGGGCTTCCTTTGAAATCATCGATATTAGTCGACTAGACTGGAGACAACACAAGAAAACATAGAAAAATAATAAGGAAACTAAAAATACCTCCTGTAAAAGATTCTTCTTTCAACTACTACCATTCGTTCCATGAAAATAGTCTTATATGTTTGCATGCAGAAACGGAAAAAAAGAAATAAACTAATATAAAAAATAATGCTGACCGTTCCAGTCTTTCGTTGTTCTTCCAGCTCTTTTTGAGCTTTCGCTTCTATAGCTCTGATATCCTCCATCGTCAAACCGTGCCACTTATCAATCCAACAAAATACCTCGCGGTGAAATTTGGAGAATAATCGAGGGTATTGCTGAATGGAAATCAATGAAAAGACATCCGCAATTACCAAGATATGTACATACTGTGTGAGTGTAACTTTCAACCATTTTTTGGAGACCAAACCATTTGAAGTGAACACTGACAAGCTTGTAAGCACACATCACCGGTTCAACCGTTTCTTGCCAATTTTCGGTCAAAGGACCTCTAAAATGAGTCATTAAAAGCTGCTACTTTTCAAGGTCAATTATTTGAAAGGCTTGCTTATGCAGATGTTGCGAGAGATCAATGAGAAAAATTTTGTGTGCTACATCAGCTGGAAACGACGACACCACAACCGTCAGAAAGCTCCAAAAATCGGGTATGGTGATTAGCTATTTTGGCTTCGCACTGTTGCCATCCTAACGTCAATTTAATATTATATCTATGCGGCTTGTTACCCATTCTTATCTTTTGAAAAAGGTGCTGCAGTAGGTGATAGAAGTGGCGATTTCGAAAATGATGCATGAGGGTCTCTTCAGCTCAGATTTTACTTCTTGAAGTAAAATCTGAGCTGAAGGGAACAGAGCTTCAGAAGAGTTTGAAGTGAGCTTCGTCTGCATTATTACCATGTCTTAACAAGAGGAGTAAAGAACACCTAATTGGTTGCCGAGCAGTGTTTCTCATAAAAACGAAGCAACTCAAGTTCCTTTTATCTTTCGCGAGTGACTTATAGGCTTCGAGATAAATGATTTTTGCATTACTTGCGCGGTTGTGCAAAAATGTTGAAAATTATCTCATGAGGCATATAATGGATAGTTAAAAAATGCTCCTCAACATTTTGCGAGAAGAAGAGTTTAGCAGCGGTGTATGATAGAGGTTTTTCAAAAAGCGCATGCGCTAGCGGAACCGTGAAAGGCCCACCTCAACTTCCCTGTCTTCTTTCGGAACGGTCTGGGAGATAAATGTTTTTACTGCTTTGTTTCTCATTCCGCTCATTTCTACAAGTGGACCACAATCACATCCTTCTCGCGAGCTTCGGTTACTAGAGCACCCGTCAGCATCAGAAAAGCGCGGAAGCAACAATTTTGGTATACAACCACCCCATCCAATCCACGAATGCCCATCATTTTACGTAACGACTGGCAAACACAGCCGCTTAGAATATTTTTGCAATGAGGAATCAATGATACCCACAAGCGCTTCTGATAATGGTCATTTCCCCATAGATTGGAAGTGGTGTAAAATAGAGAAACTTTGATAAATGTTAAGTGATCAGAAGGTGGTGGTCAAAAGCGTGGGAAGGGCATATGAGCAGCTGTTTCGAGGATAAATGTGCTAAAAATTAGCCACTAGTTAGGAGGTAAAATACGAACAAAGAAAATCAAAATTAGCATATCTGAACGATAGTATAGGCAGAAGAAAATAATGTCAATTACGTACCGACCAGTTTTGGAGCTCACAAACTTGCTGGGTATTGTGGCTGGTGTGATATCACCGGCGTGCAAGAATTCGTTGTCATTAGCAATATCGATGTCGACCACATCCCTTCTTGCGAGCTCCTCTGGAGGAAGACCGTGAGCCTGAAGAAAGCATATGCTACTGTGGAGCCTTACATGGAAGAAAACATACATTCTCGGTGGTGCCTCGGTCAGGGAGATGGATGGTCTCAATTTTTACAAAGAAATTTTCTTTCATGTAATCAGGGTTCTGAA